CTAAGAAATATCGATAATATTTTTTTCAAATTGGTATAGAAACACATCTTCTAAATAATGTTATGATACATCATAAGATTGATTTGCATTATTCCTAATGGTGGACAAATATTTTTCGGCAAAATGCGACCACTTCGCTTCGTAGACAAACAAAAATAAAAGCCCTTCAGCGCGTAAGGACGATGGTAGGAAAAAACCGACGGGATCGCAACACTGAACGATCGACACAAGTACAGTTTCTGGATCGAAACTCGATTATCGCGTTATTAGATTCGCCTCGCGGTTACGACGGCACTACCGGGAACAATTATCGGAAACGTGTTTTCTAGGAAAATGAATTTTTACATCGGGAACTAACGACATTAACCGCACGATATACTTAGCATACCCTTACGTTGTCATGTGGTTTCTTTTTTAGATAGATATGATTTGATTTATCTCACCCACCTCGTTCGGCGCATGGTTACGCCTAAGTAAGCCGGGGACGATAAATTCGATGAAATTACGTAGATTTATAGCTCGCGGCTTCTCCCGGGTATATACAGTAAAGCGAAGACGACGGCGCCAGAGTCGTCTAATCCGCATTAATGGCAACCGGGGAAAATTAAACGCAAACTTTAAGTATTCTCGGGACGTTAACTCTGTACAGTGCGTCTTTCTGTCTTCTGTTTCCCTTCAATGTTATAAGTATGCAGTTAAAGTGTGGAAATGATCCATTTAGTGGACATTACGAGCGGAGGAATGACTTGAGAAATCGTATAACTTGAGAAATATGAAGATTTATTTTGTCTGCGATTAACCATAATGCAGATTAACAAGAGTAGTGCTTTTTTAGTTCTCCATATGTGTGTATGTGTGTACGGACACAATTTACGAAAGATACGAATTTAATAAATAGGAATATTCATCAAATTTTTAACAAACGCTTTGTGCGTTTATAATAACAAAACAGTGCGAAGCTATTTCTCGCGCATTGATTATACGTGTCATATAGTAACTCGAATTTGGTACGCTGTAAAAGAGAGAAATAGCGTTCCATAACACAAAAGCATAAACGCGTCGTCTTTCACGGGCGAAAATAAATACGTGGGTATGGAATATCAGTCTGTAGCCATCAATTATTCGCGAACGGCGAATCCAATTATCTACCCATACTACATGGCACTATTCAAAGCGAGTTGTGATTATACCGCAATAAAATGCTGATTGAATAAATACCAAAGAGAGGGAGCGAGAGAAAAATAAGCGAAATTCGCAGAGATAAAGAGAATAAAAGAGGGTAAAATAAGAACTTCGACTACAGCTAGAGTTTCTAAATGTCGCGTCGTTCCGTTTAGCGCATTTGAAGATGTATATCGCGCAGATCTGCTCATCGATATTATTTAGTCTCGAAACTAAAAATAACGTTCTACTTACGTTATTTTTAATTTCCAGACTAAATGCTAGCTTTTATCTTAATTCCATCCTAATTATCTCGTCTAAGGTTCTCATTGCTAGTGCATCTCTTGATGGGATTATTAATAGAGCGTGGAATTTTATTATAGGTATTCCGCGTCATTGGAATAGAGATCGTTCCATTTAGGGACCATACGTTAATTCTAAATCCTCGATTGCAACGTTACTGCTATGTGGGTGCGCTATTAACTCTGCAGAAAGCTGCCTCTACCCTGCATATGCATTACCATCGGTTGACGGCGGGACGTTCTTCGTGGGTCGCGAATCGCGAGTTGAATAGTTTGTTAGCCGAGAACGCGCCAACTTTTCTCCATATTCCGGAGAGGCCATTGTTTCATCTTTCACGCCTTCAACCACCGCCGCGATCTCGTCCTCCTTCCCACCTTACTCGGCGTTTCATTCAACGAACTTTCCGTGTCTTGAGAGATACTTGAAAAGATACTGACCGCCCACGGTGGTTTCGGGAACAATATTCACATTGCTCGACTAAAATATGATAAATGTAAATAGATAAATCAACCGTCGCTTAATCAACGAACACTTGCTGCGTTTATCGCGACGCGATACAATATTTTAAGAAAGTGTCTGGGAATTTTGCCTTCGAAAACATATGAGCGAATTAGCATCTTTTTAGTAAACATTGTTTTTCTTACACAGCTTTTTCTTATCCTTACGACTTGTGTCTGGCGATGTGAGATCAGCAAAGTCACGTTGCATATTTATAAAAGAAGTTGTCCTAAACTAACAAATCAAATGGTAGCTGAGCAGCCAACAGGCACAAGCATACTGTCTTGATAAAATGTATTTAAAGTTTCCTTGTGTATTATTCCCCATCCACATATTTCCTATCTTATTTTTTATTCTATCTTCTCTCTTTTTCTTTTTCTCTCTTTTCTTATCATACAGAATATTTAGGAGTATACAATTCTTGCCATCCTACCAACTAATTGAAGCTTCAAATGTAAACTTTAAAAGCTCTGAACGTATTTTTCCAAAATATGTAGTATCTTCCTTATATACCATTCCGCCAACCAACACAATTATTGTTGCGTATTCGAGCAAGTTTCGTACTTGGGTTGAATTTTGCTCCGTCAAATTAGACTTCCACGAAGATGAAATTGCGCGAGTGTTTCAAGATTTTGTCCAACCCGTTGCACCAGTAAGGTTGTTCGTAATCAAGAACCTTTCTCTCCCGAGAGACTTGCTGCTCCTTAAAGACCCGCAGACGCGCTCCATATGCATGGGTGAAACGTATCCATCGACATCTTCGTATTATTGCCATTAAACGATAATGGAGATAGTAGAGTAGTGGAACGGGGAATATCGCAGGATTACGTATTGCAAAGGGAATGCGTGTGAACACGTCGCTTTGTATTCCCGCGTCTTAAGCTCATTTATCGTCGAATTTAACGCTAAATGTGACTGCCTGGAATCCCGAGCGCTATTCCTGTAATGCAGAAATTCAAATCTCCAGACGAGATCCGAATAGCTACGTTCATATTTATATAAAAGCATGATCGCTGTTCTCATTTTTATGCCGCGTGCCCAGATTATCTTACAATTAGATAAGAATCTCGTCTATTTGACATAGATTATCATTCACGATTTATATACTTATATGATTAGCTCTCGATTTATATACAATCAATTATTATAAATTATAACTATACGATTAATTTGCTTCAGATGCAACCCAAGATGACCGTCTTGTGCACGCTAGTGACGTTCGTAGTCGTCGTCGCAGTTTCGAGTCTCACAGCCGACGCAATACCGCATAGGTAATATAAATCTTATTAGTTATAAATTGATAAGTTGATCAGCTATAGGTGAACGATAAATCAAAGAGAAGAAGAAAAATATATCTACAAGTATTCTAATAATAGAGCATATAATAATAATAATAATACTCTTAGAATATAATAATCATAAATTAATGTTAAATACTAATATTAAATTAAATAATGAATTAATAAATCCCGTTTATTGAGTCACATATGAATGCTCGCAAGTTTTCTGCCTTTCTTTTTTCTTTTTTCAAAGACTTCTATATTACATAAAAACATGGATTTAACATGATTGATGGAAAAGCTGATGAACGCTAGCAGTAAATCTTTTAGCTACGTGTCGCTGCCTGGATTAGTTACATTCAACAAATACTTACGATGCCTGAAATTAATTTTTAAATATACTCATAGAATCAATGCAAATCGCAATTGCTCCGAGCGCGTATTTACAATTAAATGAAAGTATTGGATGAGAAGCAGAAATATGCATCTGGTCGAACAGTTTAACCTAGTTCCCGTTTGACGACACGCTAACCGATAGAAAGGACTCCTGGTAACTGAAATGACTCGCCGAACGACGTTTCCGACAATCGCGAAGGATAATTTCGAATTACATGCAAACGTATTTATTAACGCCTGAATTATATACGTCACAAAATTATATTTGTCAGTCGTATATTTTTATCGCTCGCGTATCATTCAGCTTCCAGAGTCTTTTTCTCGTAAAAGCAAAATAGATTTTACAGAGATTGTAAGTTTTGATCGTGTTTTGATCATGTTCTCAGTTAAATTATATTTTCCACGCGCGTTCTTTGTGTCGTCATGCGATGCTTATTGCTGAGCGCGATTTTCGCGACTAAAGTAATCGATCAATTCCAATTTTACCCCACGCACGCAGCCATGAAAATTATTGGGATCAGCAGGATGACATAGATCGAGACGAATTCCTAGAGTTCCTCTCTCGTATGAGTCGCGCTATCATGAGCCGCCCTGAGTTGGAAAAGTAAGATAACGTTACAATGATCTTAATGTTAGAATGCATAATTTATGCACATGTATCAATGTCCAGCATGTCCGAAATATTAATTTATATATACATATATATATATATATATATCCTATCTATTGTATTTACATGGCTTTTATGATATTTTATTTTAGTTGCTTCAACAATTATATGTCAACCTTTAAATTTTTTAAATGAAGAATTAATTCAACTAATGTTCAGTTAACTAACATGTTTAGTTGCTCGTATCGGACAAAATATTTTTTGGGATTAACAATTTTTTTTCTCAATGTGCGATTGATTTCCAAGAAAGCTTATTAAAAAGTTAATTCATAAAAGTTGAATCTCAAATTAAACTTTGGAACAATAGAAAGCATTTCAAAAGGAAATTTATCCCCTAAATGCTTCGAGCGCTTTATATTCAGAACATTATTTTTCCGTTGGTATTTCTTCCGTACTGCAGTGACTCTCCTATTTGTCTTTAATTCCACCAGTTATAAATGGACCACTCATTTTTAGGAAGGGTCTTTATTTTAAAAATGTCGATAATGGATTTTTACTGTACGTGTCCTTTTTTACATCGACACACATTCGTATATAGAAGAGATTTCGTTCCAATCAATTGATATAAGAGCCGCGATAGGATCAGATGTCTGGCTTTTATATAGTTACGCCGACGCGGCCCGATTGCCTTTTTATGCGTTTCTCGAGGAACGAGTGTTTCTTGGTGCAAGGCCCTTTCTAAGATGGTCGTTTCAAATAGTAATGTGATAAGCGTCCAATCGACACGTCCGCAGCACCAAACGAGGAATGGATCTGGGTCTCAATCGTGGCTTCAGCGGTTCTCAGTCGGCGAAACACTTGATGGGACTCTCGGCGGCGAACTACGCTGGCGGTCCTGGACGAAGGCGTCGCTCGGAACAGGCGTAGATCGCAGACACGATCGCTGATGCAGAGAGATTACTATACAACTCGTAATAATGTCACTCCCGACTCCGATCCTTCCACTTTGTCTCTACCTCGAGCTTGAACCACCGAAATTCAGAATCGTCCGTTGCCAGTGGCGTAACTAAATGCACTCGAGCGATTAATTACTCCCCTCTCCCCTCCCGCCCCAAGTAAATCTATAGAGTATAGATATATGCACTTCCTTCAAAGCGCAAATAGTATAAGTTCCTTATTAATAAAAAGATTACGATTATAGATACGATTGTAGCTAATCGATGTTGATAAATTCGATTTTACATTCTACCGTTTAGTCCTTGCACTTGGAATTTTGCACACTCCTTCTAGTTGCACCACTGGCAGTTCGCAACTGCGTTGCTAAATTACTCTTCATTTTGTATCGGTTCCGTAGAAGCGGATGCGATAATATCGCTCCTGGCGGAAATGATTTCATTTAAAATTAATTTGAAGTAAATGTACCTATCTATACATTTATAATAGGCACAAAGTAGTGCATTAAGTAGATTGTTTATTTGTGTTCTATATTAATTCGGCTAGAATACGGTTCAATCTTTAATTAAGAATTGATTAATAACATAAATGACAAGTCTTTTAAAAAGAATTTTAAAGAAAGATTTAAGTCAGATTTAGATCATTCTTTCACTCGTGGATCCGTGTACTGTCATCAAGATTTTTTACAACAAAAAAAAATTTTTTTAATTTTACGGAATGGATTGCTCGGATTTGTTTTTACAATTGAACTTTTCCTTCCCTCTTTCAACCGACGAGGAAAAACTCGTGCAGCTCGAGAGCACCGTAAAGGCATTCTTCGCCCAGGTATCGTTATTGCATTTTGTTCTTCCGTTATCTTTATTTGTTACGCGTGAGCCGCGTACGGATTAGCAACTTTATTCATGCCGCAAGATAAATGAAGTGGATAGACGGTAGCATTTCGCTGATCCACCGAGAGGGCTCCTCCGAGTCGCGCCTCCGCGAATCGATGACGCTCCACTTCCGGGCTGCATTTATTCTAGTCATTACTGTCTGCAATTGAAATCGTATACACCGCGGCGAGTTCCCCCGAGCGAACGCCGCGCGCGAGAGAGAATTTTCCTTTAATCCTTTACGCGCGCGGAATAATTTTTCTTCCGCAGCTTTCGAACGCTCGCTTCGTTAAACTTTCATACCAAACGATGTGTATTGTACGATCGCTCGCACCCCTTCGTCTCTCGGTCTTTTTCTCTTCTCCGATATTCTAGTGACTCTCTTGTAAAAAAAAAAAAGACTCGTCGTACTTACTATGATAATCGTAATCGGTGTTGCGTTTCTTAGGTCAGGCGTTCTCAAACCTCGTTTTCGCGCCGACGATAAAGCAAATCCGCGTTGTGCGTAAATACCTCGTCAGCAAATCAATCCGATTCCGTCGGTCGGCTAAAGAGCTTACGTAAGAAACATCGGGCGATCGTATTTTTTATTTCATACGTATCGAGCGTTTTACGGCACTTCGTGTCGGCATGCGTGTCGCGCGGAACGATTTGAGGACCCTGCTATTTAGGTCATTTTGTTTTACTAGCTCCGACGTCTATCTACATCTTATGTAACAGGCAACGTGCACGGATGCACGCTGCGCTTGCATAAAATAAGATCGTATAAAAAAAAGCGACGTAGAGGTAGTAAAACTTCGTCCTTCTTTCGTGTTATAGACTACCTTAGACTTAGTCCGTAGGTCAGGGGTGCGCAAAAAGAAATGTCCGATTTATTTTAAAATAAGAAAAGGAAAAACAGCAGCTCGATATTCGAGCTTTTCGATATTCACACATGTTATTATATTACGAATCATGTCGAGAAAACAAATATCGAACGTTACGCACGACTTTCCGAAATTCAATTAACCTGGCTGAAGTTAAATCAAATTTTCAATGAACTACTTGAAATATTCAAATTCGTTGCTTTTGTAGCGAGCAGCGAGCAGTTTTCAATAGTACATTAACAGATTGCAGATTTTTACAATCTCAAACGCTGCAAACAGTTCAATCATAACGAAATTCAAATTTTCAACCGAATGCGACCTATTTTGACATTTGGCTTGTGCATTCCTGTCAACAGGTGGTAACCAAAGCGCACACTAAGTGTCGAGAACGGTTCCGTTAATCGTACTCGACGATAACACGCGATATAATTGGCAAGACTTGGAGCAACCATTAAATAACCCGGGTAAATTATGCGAAATCCTCAAATTATACTTATTTACAAGATTAACGATCTAAAATCCGTATATTGTTTTAAAAATAGAGTGACATTTTCAATATAGAGATAATTATAATTAGCTCGTTTGTCTTTCAGGAAATATTAACACATATTGTTAAAATAATCTACAAGATAATGCTAATTGAACGGCTATTAATCAATAGCTACAAAAGTGGATTATAACGTTTGCCGCGCATGGTATTTCCATGACTATTTCGCATATAATAACTCCCCCGTTGCTCCAATACCCGGGACGTAACACAATCGTACGTTCGATCGACGTACGCGGATCTCGTTTAGTGAATAAATTACCTACCATTTTAAAAATAAATGTGCACGGACGAAGCGATTTGTTCGCTTAATCGCGAAATCCGGTTTGGTTATCACCAAACACCCCAGAGAGCGAAGCGCGTGAAGTCGACCTGCGTTATTTCTGTGTATTATAAAGAGATTTATTGCGCCTCTAGTAAAAACTGATCGTAAATAAAAGTTACTTTAACCCAGCTATGCGCGTATGTTTATTCCGACCAATACATTCCGTATTCTCTATGCACATCCAATGCTAAATACCACCTGCTTCTATTCGTCACTTAGAGTAGGGGAACAATACGGATTAGTCACACTTTTTTCTAGTAAGTTACGTGAGACAGCCACTATTTAACATAGTCGACATCAAAATCTTATTGACTGATTCGTCGAGACTCATATAAAATTATTTGACAATATTCTGGGCACTTTCAGCCGTCATATTAAAAGTTTTTTTTTTGGTCACGCTCTCAGAAACAACTTGTTAAAAAAAATGTATTTATGATAACATTCATTTCCGTGAGATATTTCAAAATATATAACCCGCGATCATCTGTATTCTTTCTACAAAACCATTAACGGTATCCAATTTTTATCAGCGCCGTTACCAAGAGACAAAGGTCACTAAGAAGCCATTAAAGCCATTAACGATATTGCTTGATCATACTCAGACGTCGCACAGTCATCGAAGATCACGAGATCACTTTTACGATAAAAAGAAAACGACGCATCGCTGTACAAACGAGAGACAACTGGTGCAACTGGAAAGCCAGATGCGCACCATTCACATGGTAGGATCTACGCAAGTATTGACACACAGAGACAGACACGCACGTATATATAGCCATCACGGTCGATCTTTCAGCTTTATGCGCGACACGGAAGAGAAGCGTGGAGAAGCGTGCTGCGAAGAAGAGTGCGTGTATACGTGCGTGTATCAGCTCTCATCCGCGAGCGAGATTTCCGTAATTCGGGGCGATAATAACGGAGTGTATTATCGCGGATTGGCGACCGCGAGCCCGACCGACTACCGCACGTCTCGGATTGCGAGTCACGAGTTTCGCTCGGCGTGTGGGCACACACGCACCGTCACGAATCTCTTGCGTCTCCCTCTGCTCCGCACGCTTCGGAAAGGACGCGACGAGGATACCGCACGACGTGCTCCGACGACCGCAGTGCCGTATTGTACACGGTGGGTTTTAGTGCGACTACGGTCGAACGACGTTCCACGTAGTGCGTAAGCAGAGGTAAACTTGCCATGATATGACAGACGATAGAGCAGTCTGTGATAAACGCACACGCGTGTAATCTCTTTATCTGATCGAAAAACGAGTGGTTTTCTGATGCATGGTATCAGAGAGACGATCCGACGTTAATGCAATTCAGTGAATCATTCGTTGGCGAGGCCGGATAAGCCAACCATGACCTTTTACGAAAATGAGGAAAGCTATCTTCCGCTTAATATTTCTTCTTTGATTTAAGCGTGGGAGTTATATCGTTTGTTAAATACCCCTTGCACAACATAGGGAAAGGGTATTTAAGAGATAAACAATTTTGTAATTTAGATTATTGTCAAATATGGATACCAAGTTTCAATAACTTGAAAAGATTATCATTTTTATTTCTTCGTTCTTTAATTTATCATTATTGTTAGATCTGGATAACTAGATTCCTATATATTCCTATATATTTTGATAAAACAATGATCTACGAACTTCAGGGATAATTCTAAACATTGAGATAAATAAAGCTAACAACCGCGGTTCGCCATTGCGCAAAGTAACTTTATCGTGCATTAAACTTATTTTACACAAGGGAGAACGCCTAAATGACTATCGGTTTGTGCTCGAGTCATTACGTTAGCCGCTAACGAGCTCTCGTTTATTATCTAGTCTACGATTGGAGAAGTTACTTGGAATCGCCACGGGAAACGTGTAATTGGGCCAAATGGATCGAGCAAGAGGACGAGCCTCGACGGGTAATCGTCGTTCCAGAAAGCTGGGCGTTTGCGTGAGCGTCGTTGCACTCGGGATCTTCATCGCTTGCACGATGCTAGCGTACGCAGCGTTCGCGTCTCCGGCTACCGAACGTGACACGTTGCGGCAGGTGGTTTTTGTGAGTATCTCGTTTGTAACAGTTGG